CTCTAATGAAGGCGACAAATCAACATTGATAACATCCACGTCAATATTGTCACTCCAATTACAGCATTAATATGCTGATAAATTTAGCACAGAACCAATCTTGTAAATATTTGGGGGAACACTTGATGGTAACAGGCGTGGCTCAGTAAAGTCATTAAAATGTTGCGCTGTATTCATAAGAGTCTTGACCTGTTGCTATACCCACTTTGTTAATACTAATAAGTACATAATTTTCTTTGTCATGACTCGAAGTAAGAATTAGACACTAAACTAACCAGTAAAATCAATAAACATATTAACATATATGTAAATTATGTATGAATTGTGGGATGGAAGACCAATACTATTTTACAGCATGTATATTCCGACTCGCTATCACACATGACATGCAAATTCTTTAGTATTTCTCTTAACTCTTTGGGAACCATACAACATTTTTTTTAATAATAAGGATGTTTACAATTTGTTCAGTCCCCTCCCCCTCGTAAGTGAATCAGTATTGGACTAGACAGATTTCTTTTTATTACTACTCTCTAGTGGCAACAGTTAAAATTATTTCAGTATGTCTCGTAGAAATAATATACTGGATGGTTCTTCGTTTGATAATTTCAATTCTACAATTCGCTGTTAGTTTATTGGTTGTGCCACATTTGGAAATGCTTTAATATCTGCAGATGGAGAAAGGTTGTTTATAATAGTTAAGATCTTGCTCAAAGACTATGCGAGTAAATGGTTGACTTTTGAAATGTGTGCATTTAAATTATCTTAACTGAATAAGTAACCTGTCTGATAAAATAATTACATTTCATGACACAACACAACATACACCGATTTAGTTGGTCTTCAAGGTATGCGTTTTATATGATAAGGTAGTTCCCTTTAAGTTCATTTATTCTTAATTTAGTCATGTGGTATAAACCGTAGTTCAAAGTCAGCTTACTATAATATAAGTTGTCCTTGCTAGGACATTATGATAATGATAATGAACTAGAGTGATCTGAGAAGCTGTTTGTTCATACTGAAAACACTAAGTACATACAGGATAACACTTCTTTTTTAAGGGAGGGGGGGTCTATTGTACACAAAAACAAAATATCAGAAAGTCAACTAAATTATTAAAGGTTTTGAAAACTGGTTCTAAGTTATGAATCACATACAATTTGATACTCAGGATGGGTTCTGAGCGCTTTGCTAAGCATGTTTCAGGAATATAGTCCAACGTCTTTAAGCCAACAGTAGCAACAGTATTGTTTTTAAGTGAAATGGACATTTATGAAAGACAGAATTCTTCCATGGGCAAATTAGGGAGTCACAAACTCGGTGAATATGCTGAATACCTCAACGAAAGCCAGACCAGCCATCTTGAAGGGATTAACTGTCCTCCAAACAAATAGACCCATACAGTGCACTTCAACTTGGTATGATAAAAGAACTAGTCAGCTACTGTGCATTTAAAGTCTAATTTAGGGTAGATTTTCAGCATATAAATAATTTTGCCATTTTCTATCATATTTTTTGATTATTTTGTCTTTACATGATGTCTGCCAGCAGAATAATTTTTTGTGATTGCTATTGTTTCTCAGAAAATAAATCCAAAAGTTTAATAACTTATCAAGAGTATGTGTCTTTGTAGTTTGTCAAATTGCTATTGAGGGTTATTTCTGTTTTAAAATGTGTCGCATTGCTTGTAAAAAAAAAACTATACAACTGCAGCACATTATGCTTGATGTATTTGAC